ACACCCTTGCTGTCAAATTTGACAGCAATGTCAAATATTTTTAATTCATTATTAAACACTTTTCCATGTCGCCTATCCACCTTCTTTCAAAGCAAACTGAAAAAGAAAAAAAAAAAAAATCTTCTTCATCATTTTTAATTCCTTTCACCTGGAATTCCAAAACCTTCAAACTTCTTCGTCTCTAACCATTTGCAGAATCCCCCCAAAACCCTTCTCATCGCCCCTTCTCCCTCTTCGTCGTCGTCTTTTCTCTCTGCACCTCCGCTTGATCACTTACAGTGTCAGCCAGTCAAGCTCGTCTCCACCATCAAGATGGGATTTGGGGGCCTTCGAAGAGGTGGGGTGAGGTTTGGAATATCGGGAAGGGTTGGGGTTTAGGTCAACAGGGAAGAAGTGGAAGGGGCTGGGATTTGGGTCAAGATCGGATTTGGGGGCCTTCGAAGAGGTCGGGTGGGATTTCTCTTCGATCTTGATCCACACAACCACGAAAGTTTAATTTCTGCAACACAAGATTGAAACAAGAAGGAATTGTGACTTAGGGTTTCACATTTGTAAAAGTTAATTTTGATAAATAGGAAAAAATGAAAGCCAAGTGATTCATTATTTATTGGGTAGAAGTTATTTATATTTGTAAAATATAAATATAAAATTAAAATGATAAAAAGAAAATAATGTAATAAAATAATAGTTCAATTTGACATATTGGGTAGAGACCAAAATTTTAGAAGAGGCTATCAAATTTAAATTTTATGTTTAAAATTTGACATCTCCTTTAGAGATCTCTTAGGCTCTAGTTGCATTATGGTTATGGTTTTGGAAGTGGCATCTGTGGATGGATTAGGTCTCACATGTCATCTCAACTTTGGGTTAGCAGCAAACCACATCACAATACCTGGAGTTGGTTCTCATGTGTCGTATTAGCTCTAGTTAGCATCCACATGCATAGATTGCATTGCAACTTGGTGGATCTTCTGACTGTTTTTGGCATATATTACTCATCTTGAGAAATAAAAGTGGCCTTAATGCATTATGTACGCCTTACAACTTCTGACCTATTCCTTTCTCTGATACAGGTTAGAATCTGTAGGGAGAAAGCAACTGGTCACGTATATGCAATGAAGAAGCTTAAGAAATCAGATATGCTTCGGAGAGGCCAGGTTTACATTCTCTCATACCTTTTTTTTTAATCTAATTTAATTTTTCTTCACTGGGCTTAGTACAATTGATGTTTTTTCTGTTTAGGTGGAACATGTGAAAGCTGAGAGGAATCTACTTGCTGAGGTTGACAGTAATTGTATCGTCAAGCTCTATTGTTCGTTCCAGGATGAAGAGTACTTGTATCTAATTATGGAATATCTTCCTGGTGGGGATATGATGACATTATTGATGCGCAAGGATACATTGACAGAATATGAAGCTATATTTTATATTGGGGAAACCGTCCTAGCTATTGAGTCCATTCATAAACACAATTACATCCATAGGTACATTGATGTTAGTTTGATTATCTAATTGTACAGTTGTACATGATATATACATATGTAGATGCCCTGTTATCTAATTCTTATGTCTTATCATGATGAATGATCCTTTCCTTTTTAATTTGTTACAGAGATATTAAGCCTGACAATTTGCTGCTGGATAGAAATGGTCACATGAAATTATCAGATTTTGGATTATGCAAACCATTAGATTGTAGTATACTTCAAGAAAAGGATTTTTCTGTGGGAAAAAATCTTAGCGGGGCTCTTCAAAGCAATGGACGGCCTGCACCACCAAAGCGTACACAACAGGAGCAACTGCAGCATTGGCAGAGAAACCGGAGGATGCTTGTAAGTTCTAATATCATGTTCTTGATATGGTTATCATTACTATAGTACTGACATTGTTAATACAAATTCAGCATGCTCTTGGTTATTGGTAACCTATGCCATTATCGTAAATGTTTAAACTCTAGAGTTTATCATTTCAATTGACAACTCATGATCATATTGATACTTAATTGTAGTGCATCCTTAGGTCTTAGTTACACCTGAGCTGGTCTAACTCAAATGGCATTCCTTCATTTTCTCATCAATATACAGAAATATCTATATAATTATCATATACCTAGAGATATCTCGAGTTCATTCTTTGTGATGTCATTGTGTTCAGAATTTTCATACCATTTTTCATGTTGTAGGCTTATTCTACGGTTGGAACCCCAGACTATATTGCCCCAGAAGTTTTGCTGAAGAAAGGATATGGAATGGAATGTGATTGGTCAGTGTATAAGACTTGGCTATCCTTTCCAACTTTGTATTTCTTGTTGTACATTCAGCTGAGATATTGTTAATACTGTCCCAGGTGGTCCCTTGGGGGCTATTATGTACGAAATGCTTGTGGGATATCCACCCTTTTATTCAGATGACCCCATGTCAACTTGTAGAAAGGTAATATCAAGAGTACTAGTTTTTATTTTTCATTTGATATGTCAGCAATACCATGCTATGCCTTTAGGGGATATGTGTCATAGACATGGCACTGATAGGATGCAATTTTGTTATCATGATCCTCATAGATATATCATTATATGGAACTTTCTTTCGGGTGATGGTCAGTGTCGATTCTGATTAAGTTTACTTGAATAACAAGAAAATAACAAACATCAAACAAACTCTAAAGACCTTGTCTTTGGGTAGCATAGTTTTTGATACTACTCTTGTAGCAAAATTATCTTAACTTTTATGAGGTCTACTTTTTTTATTTTTCCTTGTTCGTTGAGGTCCCTGACATATGGTGCTTTTGTCAAGGTTTAGTGCTAGGTATTTTCTGGGGCATGTGTAAGTTATTCCCACAGAATTGTTTGAAAATTACGTCACACAATGAAGGGGTACTTTCAATGTAATATATGACTTGTATATCAAGGGAAATGTTTCTCCCATTTTTGTTACGTTGCCCATCCTTTTAGAAGTGTATGGAGGTTACATCTTTACTGATTACTGTATACAGGCTTAGGATAAGTGAGGTCATTGTTATGATTTGAGAAGTTCCTGGAGTAACAGATTTGCATTGGCGCTGTGTAGAGGATGGGATCCTGTATTTGATCTCAATTCGTCACATTTGGCTGTAAAGACGTTGGTAGTTATTCAGTCAACTGGTCCATTACCTCCATACATGAAGCTGTCGTTATTCGTTGTCTTCTGATCCTTATGGTCTCTTCATATTTATGTATTAATTTACATTTTTTCTTCTTAAACCCTGTTTTTCCTGTTTGTATTAATGGCAATTTCCTTGTGTCTCTTTTAAATATTACTTTGTTCTCTTTTTCCCTTCAATTTATCTCATAATTGCCATCTTGCTACAGCTTTGTGACTTGTAATAAAAACTTCAATCCTTGTCGGTTTATCAAAAAGGAAAAAAATCGGTTTTTTTTTTTTGGGTCTATGGCTAATTATTTCTTTTTCTTGCTTTTATTCACACGTTTAATCTCAATTTATTCTTGTTTGTTTTGGCATTTATGGTTGAAAAGTACCTCGTTTCTTGTTTATCCAGATAGTTAATTGGAGAACTCATCTGAAATTTCCTGAAGAAGCCAAACTCTCTCCGGAAGCCAAGGATCTCATTAGTAAACTCTTATGTAATGTTGACCAGAGGCTTGGAACAAAAGGGGCAGATGAAATAAAGGAATTGAATGGGACAAATTGTATCAAATGAAGGCTGCATTTATCCCCGAGGTCAATGATGAGTTAGATACCCAAAATTTTGAGAAGTTTGAGGAGGTAGATATTTAGTTTCTTGTATGTTTGTGTATGTATGCATAGCGGTATTAGCCATTCTCGGGGCATGTTTTTCCTAATCCTTTTTATCCCTTTACCCTTATTTGCTGGTGGTAGGGAGACAACCAGATTGAAACTTCAACGAGAGCTGGTCCATGGAGAAAGGTTGGTACTATTAGTTTCAGTTGTATGAGTTTTGAAGTCCTTCCTCCCCAACTAGAAGTCCCTGAGAAACAAAGAGAGTGAATCCGGGCCAAGTACACAGTTTATCTCATAACTTTCAGCTGCTGTAGAGATCCAACCAAACAGAATATTTTCCGGTGATTAATTTATCTGTAGATCCGTAGATGAGGGGCAAAGGCCTCGGAAACAAATGGTTTTTGTTACATATTTTCTGCAAAGTATATATTCTTTGGAAATGGTTGTGTATTCTTTATTTTTACCCCCTTTTTTGTCAAGATTCAAAAATCCGCGTCCAATTGTTACATATTTGTTCATGTATTTAACTTGTGTTGATGATTATCATACTAATGCTATATATAAAGAAAGAGTAATTTGAAACCTTTTATTGATAGGCTTTTAGCCCGAAATTTGTTACTTCGCGTCTAAAATCGAAGCTTAGAAATCAACTACGTCAATAAACGGGATTAAGTTGAACCTTTTTTTCTTTATATTTTTGTTTACGGCAACGCTTCATGTCTTTAACGTCCTACATACATCAAGGTGGACTCTGCTGTGCATTCTGCATTGCCCTCAACAAACTTGTACGTTTTAGTCCTTCAACAAAAGGACAATAATAAAAACCTCACCAACTAAAACCTGAACAAATGTTTTAGGATGAAAATCACACGTTTATCGTTGTTAACAACTCTTATATAAAGGACTTTGATGACATGATTATATTGTTATTGTACATCTTGTGCCAATGATTTAACGTTATATGTTAAATTTTCTCTACGTTGCGCTGTATTATTAGCACAAAATGTCACAATGTAGTGTGTTCGTGCTATGTTGCTCTGTCTATAAAGATAATAAAAGCACAACTGTGTAAACCCAAGAACTGATTCTCACAAATCTTTTTTAGCGTCTTACAACCCGCTTTTTTATTTATGGTGATTGAATTGATAAATCAAACACAAATAATGATAATAATAATAATAAAAAAAAAAACATACATGATTCGGGTGTGGAGAGGAGAAAAAAAATTGTTAAAATGTCACGTTATAAGCACGTGAGTCAAATTTTTAAGGCAAACATAAATTTGAAAACAAAAAAGTCACTTCCTCCCCGCCACCCTCTCTCCCTCTCCGGCACGGCGGCTCCACCCATGACTCGGGAAATCCAGGAGGCAGATTCTCATCTCCGTAAGGAAGATTAACGAACAACATTGATCTCATAACCCTAGTTTCCAAAAAAAAACCAAATCGCCAAAAACCTCTAAACCCCATGAAATGAGCTCCACCTCCATCCAAACACTGCTAAAAACCCGCTTCAAGAACCCCAGCACCATCAAATGTCAATCCCATGCCAAACAGCTCCACGCCCAGATCCTCAAATCCAACTGCGGCCCTTCGGCTCCCGACCTCTCCTTTGTCCTCTCTGTTTACTCCACCCTGAACCTCCTACACGACACCCTCACCGTCTTCAACTCCCTCCCTTCTCCTCCCCCCACTCTCGCTTGGAAGTCGGTTATCCGATGCTACGCCTCCCACGGCCTCTACCACCGTTCCTTGGCCTCCTTTGTGGAAATGATGGGTTTTGGGATATACCCAGACCACAATGTGTTCCCTTCTGTGCTCAAATCATGCGCATTGCTTGGGGACTTGAGGTTGGGCGAGTCCGTCCACGGGTGTGCTGTACGGTTCGGTATAGATTGTGATTTGTATACTTGTAATGCACTTATGAATATGTACGCAAAGTTAGAGACTTTGGAGGGGATTGGTGGGCAGAGGTTTGGTGCGCCCAAGTTGTTTGATAGAATGCCTCAACGAAATCAAGTTTGTAGAATTGGGTCTTTGGAGGTAGAAGGTGAGGCTTTGTGTAGTAGTCAATCAAATAAACTGGTTAATGACTTGCAGATGCAGGGTAATGGTATTGATAGGATTGTTGGTTTGACTGCATCTGTAGATGTAGACCCTCCACTTCGTGCATACCGGCAATTCAATGATCAGTGTCATAAAGCTTTTGAGCAAGAGGAAGGGAAAAGAGTTGCCAGAGTGGATAGTGTGAGAAAGGTCTTTAACTTGATGCAAAAAAGAGATATTGTTTCCTGGAATACAGTCATTGCTGGGAATGCACAGAATGGGATGTTTCAAGAAGCTTTGGCAATGGTCAGACATATGGGGAATGCTGACTTGCAGCCTGATGCTTTTACTTTGTCTAGTGTCCTTCCAGTTTTTGCAGAATATGTAGATGTTATCAAGGGAAAGGAGATTCATGGGTATGCTATAAGACGTGGGCTTGATGCAGATGTATTCATTGGGAGTAGCTTAATTGACATGTATGCCAATTGCACTCGAGTGCAAGATTCCCTGTGGGTGTTCAACCTGCTACCTAAGCGTGATGCCATTTCATGGAACTCGATCATTGCAGGATGTGTGCAGAACGGTATGTTTGATGAAGGACTGACATTCTTTCGCCAGATGTTGATGAATAAAGTTAAGCCTGTGCATGTATCCTTTTCAAGTATTATTCCAGCTTGCGCTCACCTGACAACTCTACATTTGGGAAAGCAGCTCCATGGATACATAACTAGGGGTGGATTCAAGGATAATGTGTATGTAGCGAGCTCACTGGTGGACATGTACGCCAAATGCGGTAACATTAGGATGGCAAGGTGGATTTTTCACAAAATGGAGAGACATGACATGGTGTCATGGACAGCCATGATTATGGGATATGCTTTGCATGGTCATGCACATGATGCCATTTCCTCTTTTGAGCAGATGAAAGAAGAGGCTGTAAAGCCCAACTATGTTTCTTTCATGGCTGTATTGACCGCATGTAGCCATGCTGGATTGGTAGACAAAGCTTGGAAGTATTTTAATAGTATGACTGGGGAATATGGGATTGCTCCCGGTATAGAGCACTATGCTGCTGTTGCAGACGTTCTTGGTCGAGCTGGAAGGTTGGAGGAAGCTTATCAGTTTATCTCCACCATGCATATATTACCAACGGGAAGTGTATGGTCAACATTGTTGGCTGCTTGTAGAGTTCACAAGAATGTTGAATTAGCTGAGAAGGTTGCTGAGAAAATATTTACAGTTGATCCTGGGAACATGGGTGCTTATGTTCTATTGTCAAACACATATCTGCTGCTAAGAGGTGGAAAGATGCAGCAAAATTGAGGATCACTATGAGGGATAAGGGATTGAAAAAGAAGCCAGCCTGCAGCTGGATTGAAGTTAAAAGCAAGGTTCATGCTTTTGTGGCGGGAGATAAATCCCACCCACATTATGATCGAATAATTGAGGCTCTAGGAGTCATTTTGGAGCAGATGGAACGAGAAGGGTATGCGCCCAACACAAATGAGGTGCTCCATGATGTTGAAGAGGAGCAAAAGAAGTACTTATTGTGTCACCACAGTGAAAGGCTTGCCATAGGATTTGGCATCATTAGCACTCCTGCTGGGACAACAATTCGAGTAACAAAGAACATTAGGTTATGTGTGGACTGCCACATAGCAATAAAATTTATGTCAAAGATCGTTGGGAGGGAGTTCATTGTCAGAGATAACAGCCGGTTTCACCATTTCAAGGGTGGAGAGTGTTCCTGTGGAGATTACTGGTAAGGAATCTCTTTCCAGACACAGTCATTGGCACATTTTTAGGTAAAGAGGAGGAAAGAGGGGTAAAAAACACCAACACAGAAGAAGTGTCTTCAAATGCCACCAAGCAGAAGGTTGCAGCTGCAAATCAATATACAGACGATCATTACAAGAAAAAAATAAGAAGTTTACAGGAGCAGTATGAGTTTCCTTCATCTCTCTTTACAGTGGTGGTGTTAGACAAAGTAAACTGCCAATGATCTTTGGAGAGGTACACGTTTTCTTTTGATAATGAAGTAGTGTATCATTTTTGTCCGGTTGCATCCACATACCACGACCTGTTATATTATTATATTTGACCATATGAATAGCGCTTGCAGTCAATATAGTTCACGACTGCAGATTAAGTTCTATATATAGATACTGCATACGCTGTTCCTACCTCCCTCCAAACAAAGAAGAGATGCAAAAAAACTTAAACTTAAACTTTGTCCCTCTGGGATTTCATTTCTATTGCTTTTTAGTTATTGTAAATTGATGGACGGATTCTGGGAGCGCTGGTTAGGATAATAAACGTTTTAGCTCTAGTTGAATTGTGGATTCAGTTTAGGAGTTGTGGCATCTGTGCGTGGGTTAGGTCTCGAGTTGCAAAACACATTACCATGCCTGTGCTGGAATTAGTTCCATCTGTCATGTTAGCTCTAGTTAGCGTTGATAACAAAAGTAGCATTATTGCATTATGCCTTACTACATTGTAAATTTGTAATCAACATATTGGTTTTTCCTTTTCTTTGTCTTTTGTCTTTGTGTTACCTATTTCTTTCTCCACTCGTACAGGTTAGAGTCTACAGGGAGAAAGAAAGCAACTGATCATGTACCTGCAGTTACGAAGCTTAAGAAATCAGAGATGCTTGGGGAAGGCCAGGTATACATTCATCCATTCGAACATGTTCCTCAATCAAATTGAATTTTTCTTCACTGGCCTTAGTGTATCGTTTTATATAGTTTGTGCATGTGAAAGCAGAGAGAAGTCTACTTGTAGAGGTTGGCGGTAATTCTATCCTCAAGCTCTGTTGCTGCTTCCAGGATAAATAGTCGTCTTATTTGTTTTTTAGGATTTTAAAAGGCAATACCGGCCCTGACTCATTGGTTGGAATGGGGCCGGACCAAAATTCAAACGATGAGGCGGGCTTGGTAGTAAAGTAAAAATATTTGTTTCTGTTTTTCATTCTGTATACTGTATGCATTCATTAATTAAATTTATTGGAGTAGTGTCTTTGTCTTTGAAATATATATATATATATATATATATATATATATATATATATATATTCGAGAGAGAGAGAGAGAGAGAGAGAGAGAGAGAGAGAGAGAGAGAGAGAGAGTTGCTTCTTGCTTGTATTGTACAGATATATTATGAATATTGAGTAGTTGTGGTTTTAGGTAGAGGCCACCATCTCCCATTGATCCACAAAACTACAATTCCAGTCTCCAAATCCAATAAATAAACAATTGTTAAGGTCAAATCAGTCACCAACTATTTATCTGTTCTGCACTAATACTCTAATAATATGGATTGGAAGCTGGAAGCCACCCTTGAATACAATTCTGTGAGTGAGTGAGACACACTTTACTCACTCACCTGAAACTTTCAAAGTAAATATTGATTTCACTTTCTAGTTTTAATGATTTTAAGCAATGACTTAAGCGTACCAAAACTATCAGTTGTCATGTTAATTTCTCAAAATATGTGACTGTTTGTACAAGAAATTATAAACGCATACTCTTTTTTTAGCTTTTCACGTACTCTCTTGAAATTATATCCATTGATTTTTGTTTGATTTATCCAAATTTGTTGGTCAAAATTCAGAGTGTGAGAAGCTAAAAATAGTATATGAAAATCATCTTTCATGCACAAAATGATTGCTTCCATGGTTTAATAATGTTACCACTTCATTTCAATTTACTAGGCTACTAGCTTCTTGATACGCTTTCACGTTAATGACAGATTTTTTTGAAAGTCATATTGCTTTCATGGGTAATTGCTCAAAGTTGGACTACGGGAAAATTTTACCAAAAAAAAGTAAGTTGAACGATAATGAGAACTTGAGATTCTATTTAACTTAGCTAAACTCATACCTGCATTAAATATTTAATGTTGAACATAACTAAGAAAGAAAAACAAAAATAATAATAGAGAGACATTTTTGTCGCCTGTTATGATATAAATATATATAAATATGTATATATATTATTATAGTATGAAAAAGACCTGAAGAAGTTATCGAAATCCAGTTGGTGGCTGATTTGTAAGTATCCGGAATGATTGGTTCCCAAATCTGAAATCTTACACCAAATACTTAATAATGGAAAATTTGATTACTAAATTCAAATTACACGGAATTCTTGATGAGTGATCTGTATGCCTAACAGTCACAGATTGTTCAGGTAAAAGCACTTTCTATAATAGCACTTATTAGGAAGACAGCAAATCAGCATAAGTGAAAACACTTACATCTGCTGTTTCAACAAGGATTTAAATTGCTCTTGTAACTGACAAGAATGCTCTACTATTTCTGCAAATACGATATAAGAAATGCTTTAATTATTATTTGGAAGTGTTTTTAGCATCGAGGACAACGGTACTCTCAAAATTCAAAAAATAAAAATATTAGATATGTCACATCACGCTACAATGCATACGGTTATAACTGCAAGAAAAATTTATCTGGAACAAGTGTCTGCTTTGACAATTTGTCATCCAGTCCTGCTCATTGTTTTTAGGAGAAAAAAGGGTGCACACACACGTTACACATACCAGTTTTTGTTCATTTTATATGTAAGAAAACAGTGAATTTCACGACACTATGACAATGTGTATAAAATCAAAGCTTATTTCCAAGAAAAAATAATCAGTAATGGTTTGTATGCTAAGAACAAGTCATCAAATTTAAGCTGCGTGATCACTTATTGTGAGAAAAATTACATAAACACGCATTACACACTCATGTTTTTAGTGATTGTTATGTTGAAAGAAAATAGTGAACTTGTACAAGTTCCAACTCAAGTGGAATTTGAAGCTTGGAAGAGC